GGATAGATGGCCTTAGCCACAATATTCTAATTCACATGACTTCTCTCCTTCTCCACCTTCTGACTTCGCTTCTTTAAACTCTTGGCCTTCCTTAACTCTTCCTTTGGCTGATACAGGCTATCTGGGGCACATCCTTAGGTCCTCAGAATAGAAGAGTTTCTTAGTTTATAGATAAATGCCCAGAGGAGGATTCTGCTTGGTTCTAATTGAATCCACTTACTCATCCTTGAACCAATCACTGTGGGAAGGATTCTATGATTGGCAGCCCCAGGAGGACCAAAAGGAGTAGGGGTCGGTTCTAAGAAACAGGAATCGTGGCAGACAAAAATAGCAGATGTTTCCTACAACAATATATTGATAAATACCAGAACTCTTATAAAAAGACACATAACCTAATTAAAAATTGGCAAAGGTGGGGTGCCTGGGTGGCTCAGTCGGTGGAGAGTCTGCCTTCAGCTCCTGGGATCAAGCCCCGCATCAGGCTCCCGGCTCAGCAGAGAGCCTGCTTCTCCCTCTCCCTCTGCTACTCCCCCTACTTGTATGCTCTCTCTCTATCAAATAAATAAAATCTAAAAAAAAAATTGGCAAAGGACTTGGATAGACATTTCTCCAAAGATATACAAATGGTCAATAAGCCAAGATGCTCAATATCATTAGGTATGATATGCAAATCAAAACCACAAGATATTACTTCACACCCACTAAGATGGCTATAATCAGATAATAACAAAGATGTGGAGAAATCTGAATGAATCCTCATACGATTTTTGGTGGGAGTGTAAAATGGGGCAGCCACTGTGGAAAACAGGCAATTCTTCACATGGCTTAACATAGTTAACATATATATATGTATATATATGAAAGAGATGAAAATATGTCTGCACAAAAAACTTGTACATGAACATTCATAGTAGTATTATTTATAATAGCCAAAAATTAGAAACAACTTTTTTTTTCAAGATTTTATTTATTTATTTATTTGAGAGAAAGCGAGAGAGAGAGAAACAGCATGAGAGGGGAGAGGGTCTGAGGGAGAAGCAGGCTCCCCGCTGAGCTGGGATCCTGATGTGGGACTCGATCCCAGGACTCCGGGATCATGACCTGAGCCGAAGGCAGACACTTAACAAACTGAGCCACCCAGGCGCCCTGGAAACAACTTTTTGATGAATGGGTAAACAAAATGTGGTATACTACACAATGCAGTATTATTCAGCCATAAAAAGAAATGACGTAGATACAGGCAAAATATGGATAAACCCTGAAGACATTATGCTAAGTGAAAGAAGCTAATCACAAAAGACCACATAAACATGCCATTTATACTAAATGCCCAGAATCTGTAAATCTGTAGAGACAAAGATTAGTGGTTGGGTAGGGCTGGAGGAGTTGAGTGGATTCAGGCGATAGCTCAAATAGAGTTTCTTTTTGGAGTGGTTAAAATATTCTCAAATCGATTATGGTGATGTTGCACAACTCTGTAAATATACTAAAAGCCATTGAATGAGCACTCTATACGGGTTAAGTATATGATGTGTGAATAATATACCAATAAATAGCCAACCAGTGTTCCTTCTGTATGTCCTGCTCCCTCCTTTGGGGTCTCTGAGCCATGGGGAAAGCTTCATCTGAAGCTAGACAGAGAGTTCCAATCCTGCTTCTATTTCCTTACAGTTAACTCCTTCCTCAATAGGTACCATGGGCATGATAATCCCTGCCTGGGAAGGTTATGATTTTTAAAAATATACATTAGGATTAATAATGTACAGTATCTGATACATAGTTGACGCTCAAAAAACACTACTGTGAATGTGTACAGCAATGCATATGTATATACACAAGAACATGGGGGCTGTTGGGGAGATTTTTTCGTATCGGTGGTCTCAGCCCTCCCTGCCCATGTCTCTCAAGCTCTGGGACACAGGCAGCAGCGCAGAGCACGAACCCCGGTGCCAAGGAAAAGTCCCGCATCCCGGGCCGAGCAACGGCAATGAACGGGCTCGAAAGGCGTCCAGAAGCCGCCCTACCGAGCAGAGAGCGATGCCACGTAACCGCGGGGGAACCGGAACGCAACAACACAGGTTAGGTTACCCGGGACTGAGAGCCAACCAACCGCTCGCCGCCTTGCCGCGAGCGGAGAACAATGCGCTCAGCCCTGCGCGCGGAAGCTCGCGGTGCCGCGCCCGGGGGCGTGCCCGGCCCGGGGCCTGCTGGGAAATGCAGTGTCTGAAGCTCTCCCACGCAGCCCCACTGCTCTTCGGAGCGAGCCCAGTGCAACTACAAGTCCCATCACGCTCCGCGAGGTCTTGATCGCCCGGCTTTTGCAGGGAAAGGAGTGGGGCGAACATGGCTGAAGGCAGCCGGGGCGGCCCAACGTGCCGCGGGATGGACTGCAGGCAGGACCCGGTCTCCAGCAGTGGGAGCTGCAACTTTCCAGAGTACGAGCTTCCCGAGCTAAACACGCGCGCTTTCCATGTGGGCGCTTTCGGGGAGCTGTGGCGTGGCCGGTTGCGCCGGGAAGGGGACTTGTCGCTGAAGGAGCCACAGGCAGCCGCGTTGCCTGGGAGCCAAGGGGTCGCCGACTGGGGCCAGGAGGATGCTGCGGTGGCCCGGGATCTGGGCTGCAGCCCGGAGGCAGCGGCCGAGCTGCGGACGGTGTGCGGGTGAGTGCGGGGCCGGGGGGTTCTTGCTGCTTCGAGCTAACCTGGGTGCAACCTTGCTCCTGCGCTCCCCTGGGATTCATCCTTGGGAGGGCCTGTGGTTTACTCCCAGGGGTAGGAGGACCGCCCTTCCAAAGCTTTCAACCTGCTGGAGCTTTCCTGGAACCCCGGGAGAAGTCCCGTGATCGGAATGCATAATTTCGGCGAGTTGGAGTGAAGGGACGAGAGAGCTGCATAAAAGATTAATTTTTCTCTTGGTTAATTTTTTAAGTGCTTGTTAATGTTGAAAAGCAGTCATGTGTAGCTGCCATTGACAAGACACTTTGACAATGGAGGAGCCTTAAGTAATGATGAGGCTGGAAGGAGATTTAACCAGAGGAGTGTTAAAACCTTTGATTAATTGTGGTTGTTTTCGGAGGACCTCCAAGTATGCTGTTACCGAAAATTTCCCCCAAAGTGCCTTTTATGGGGTGAAAATATTTTTTAAAGAAACTTAACTATTTCTTTCTCCGTTTAACAGTATGGGCCATCATACATCAATCGGCCATGTGTCCTTTTCTCTGTAGGAAATCAGCACTGGTATCATTGTCTTGAATTCCGGCCTCCTGTGAATCCCGCCTGCTGGATTTTATCTGACTTAATTGCTTAATGATGTATTTAGGACACAGCCCTGACTCGCTGTGGTCAAGATGGGTTGATTGCTTTTCCTTTGTATTTATGTTTTAGCCTTGATAAACTGAAGTGCCTTGAGGAGGGTGAGGATCCAGATGTCGTCCCAGAGAATACCGACCTAGTGACTTTGGGGTATGGAAGACTTTACTTTTATTATGTGGTACTTAATTTGAATGTTTTTCCAACATTATATTGGAAAAATACTTATTGTTATCACCCCACCTCCTAAATCCAACCATTAACATTCGGCTTAATTTGCTTTAGCTCTGTGTGTTTGAGATACCTGCTGCAAGTCTTTTTCTGTTGCTGAACCGTTCAGTGAGTTTCAGACATCGTAACTTAGACCTGAATACATCAGCATATAGTTCCCCTAGGTATCAGTCTCCTACATAATCAGAGTGATATGATTGCACCTAGGAAAATTAGCAGTAAATACATAACCTCAGGGGCGTCTGGGTGTCTCAGTCATTAAGCGTCTGCCTTCGGCTCAGGTCATGATCCCAGGGTCCTGGGATCAAGTCCCACATCCGGCTCCCTGCTCAGCTGGGAGTCTGCTTCTCCCTCGGCCTGCTGTGTTCTTTCTCTCCTCTTTCTCTGACAAATAAATAAATAAAATCTTAAAAAAAAAACACATAACCCCTAATGTTCAGTCTGTATTCAGATTTGTGTTTTTATTTTTGTTTATTTTTACTTATTTTTGTATTTATTTTTAAATACATGTGTTTACAAAGGTCAATTAATCTACTTAGATTCCAGTGCAAGCTGAATACTGATAGTGTCTTTCAAACTGTTTTCTTTTCAACTTTTAATTTTTGACAGTCATATTTTTGTGAAATAGGATACCAATGAATTACTAGGAAAATAGGATTAAAAGACAAACACAATAAAAGTCCTTTATTTTAAAGATTTTTATTTATTTATTTGTCAGAGAGAGAGAGAGAGAGCACAAGCAGGGGGAGCAGCAGAGGGAGAGGGGGGAGCAGCAGAGGGAGAAGGAGAAGCAGGCTCCTCACTGAGCAAGGAGCCCGAAGTGGGACTTGATACCAGGATCATGACCTGAGCCGAAGGCAGATGGTTAACGACTGAGCCACCCAGGCGTCCCAGAAGTCCTTTATTTTAGAACAGAGGTTATTATTACTGTTATTTTTTTAAGATTAAAAAGACTTTATTAAAGATAACTTCCCCCCCCCCGAACTTCCAGACTTCCAGGTCATTATGCTTTTTATTTTTTCATTTTTTGAAGTATATCATTGTCTTGATTTTTTTTTTTTTTTTTTTTGGGAGAGCATTCGTGCAGGGGAGGGTGGGGTGCAAAGGGAGAGGGAGAGAGAGAATCCTAAGCAGTCTCTATGCTCAGGACGGAGAGCTGGGGGAATGGAGAGCTGGAGCTCAATCTCATGACCCTGAGATTATGACCTGAGCTGAAATCAGGAGTTGGCTGCTCAACTGACTGAACCACCCAGGTGCCCCTTGAATTTGTTTTTATTGAAGTGTAGTTGACATAAAATGCTTCATTAGTTTCAGGTGTATGGCATGGTGATCTGACAGCTCTATATGTTAGTGCTTACCGCAAGTGTAGCTACCATCTGTCACCACACAAGGCTATTGATAATACCAGTTACATTAACACTGACTGTATTCTTTATGCTGTCCCATTATCCCCATGACTTACTTATTCCACAACTGGAAACCTATACCTGTCACTCTACCCATTTTGCCTCTCTCCCCACCTTTCCTGGCCGTCAGTTTGTTCTCTGTATTTATGGGGCTGTTTTCTGCTTTTGTATGCTTGTTTGTTTTCTTTTTTAAATTCCACATATCAGTGAAATTATATAGTATTTGTCTTCCTCTGTCTGAATTATTTCACTTAGCATAATACCCTCTAGGTCCATTCATGTTCCTGCAGATGGCAAGATCTCATTCTTTTTTATGGCTGAGTAATATTCCATTACACACACCACATCTTTATCCATTCGTCTATCCATGGACACCTGAGTTGTTTCCATCTCTTGGCTGTTGTAAATAATGCCCTAGTAAACATAGGAATGCATTTATCTTTTGGAATTAGTGTTTTTGTTTTCTTTGGGCGAGTACCTAGTTGTGGAATTACTGGATCATATGGTATTTATATTTTTATATTTTTCAAGAACCTTCATACTGTTTTCCACAGTGGCTGCACCAATTTAATTTCTACCAAGAGTGCTCAAGGATTCCTTTTTCTCTACATCTTCGCCAACACTTGCTATTTGTCTTTTTGATTCTAGCCATTCTGACTAATTTGAGATATTTCTTGGTGGTTTTGATTGGCATTTCCCTGATGATTAATGATGTTGAGCATCTTTTCATATGTCTGTTGGCCATCTGTATGTCTTCTTTGGAGAAATGTCTATTCAGGCCCTCTGGTATAGTCCCAATAGTTTATTTTGTGTGTGGTTTTTTAAAAAAGATTTTATTTTATTTATTTGTCAGAGAGAGAGCACAAGCAGGGAGAGCGGCAGGCAGAGGGAGAAGCAGGCTCCCTGCTGAGCAAGGAGCCCGATGTGGGACTCCATCCTAGGATCATGACCTGAGCTGAAGGCAGATGCTTAACCGACTGAGCCACCCAGGCGTCCCATCCCTTGCCTGAAGAGACGTTTTGAAAAATATCTCTAAGACTGATGTCTAAGAGATTGTTGCCTATGTTTCCTTCTAGGCGTTTTATGTTTCAGGTTTCACATTTAGGTGTTTAATCCATTATTGAGTCTATTTTTTGTGTGTGGTGTTAAATAGTGGTTCAGTTTCATTACTTTGCATGTAGCTGTCCAATTTTCCCAACACCATTTGTTGAAGAGACTGGCTTTTCCCCATTGTATATTCTTGCCTCCTTCATAGAGTAATTGACTGCGTAAGTGTGGGTTTATTTTTGGGCTTTCTATTCTGTTCCATTGGTCTGTGTGTCTGGTTTTGTGCCAGTATGATATTCTTTGATTACTACAGCTTTGTAGTATATCTTGAAATCTGGGATTGTGATACCTCCAGCTTTGTTCTTTCTCAAGATTGCTGTGACTGGGGGCGCCTGGGTGGCTCAGTCAGTTAAGCGGCTGCCTTCAGCTCAAGTCATGATCCCAGGGTCCTGGGATCGAGTCCCGCATCGGGCTTCTTCCTCAGCAGGGAGCCTGCTTCTCCCTCTGCCTGCAGCTCCCCCTGCTTGCACTCTCGCTCACTCTCTCGCCTATGTTCTCTCTAGCAAATAAATAAATAAAATCTAAAAAAAAAAAAAAAAAAAAGATTGCTGTGACTGTTCTGGGTCTTTTGTGGTTTCATACAAATTTTTATATTATTTGTTCTAGTTCTGTGAAAAATGCTGTTAGTATTTTGATAGGGATTTCCTTGAATCTGTAAGTAGTTTTGGGTAGTATGGATATTTTACCAATATTCTTCCAATCCATGAGCATGCAGTATCTGTCCATTTGTTTGTGTTGTCTTCAGTTTCTTTAACAGTGTTTATAGTTTTCAGAGTACGGGTCTTTCACCTCCTTGGTTGAGTTTATTCCTTAGTATTTTATTCTTCTGGTGCAATTGTAAATGGAATTGCTTTTTTTTTTTTTAAAGATTTTATTTATTTATTTGACAGAGAGAGACACAGCGAGATAGGGAACACAAGCAGGGGGAGTGGGAGAGGGAGAAGCAGGCCTCCCGCAGAGCGGGGAGCGCGACGCGGGGCTCGATCCCAGGATCCTGGGATCATGACCTGAGCTGAAGGCAGTCGCCTAACCAACTGAGCCACCCAGGCGCCCCAAATGGAATTGCTTTTTAAAAAATATTTTCTTTATGCTACTTTATTATTAGTGTCTAGAAATGCAATCAATTTCTGTATATTAAGTTTGGGTCATGCAACTTTATTACTTCCAATTACATTTTATTATTAAATTCAATGGTAAAATTAATATTCATATTCAAATTACTACTTCATATTGCTGTGAATGTTTCTACGTGTTTACTCTCATGGTCTGTACTGATTGAATAACACATAGCTCTCAGATCAGTGTTGGTCTGCCAGTCACACTTTGAGAAACACTGTGCTCTGGTAGTAGTATAGAGAAAATGTGTAATGGTGACATTTATAAGTTCCAGTTTGTAGCCCGCTTACTTCACACCACCTCATCTTTTTAAATCCTTGATCCTACCCTTTCTGTTGTTCCCTTTGAAAATTTAGGCGTTTCACTTCCACCTTGGTTTCTTTTATAATAGCTGCCAAATCTGTTTTCCTTATCCCCACTGCTAATGTTTACATTGGTGATACTTGGAGCACCATGAACACCTCCCATCTCTCCTAGGTCCGGTTTTTTCCTCTTCTGATTTATTCTTCTGTGCTACCACCTGAGCATGCTCATTTGCTGAGAAATTCCCCATGGCTCTTCCTCTCCTCTATGACAGATTTCAGATTCCTTACGTAGACATATGAAGCGCTCCACCTACAGTCCAAATCTGCCTTTCCGGATTTATTTTCAACCACTTTCTCTTTCAGATGGCTCAGGAGGCCCCTCTCCCATCTAAAACGCCATTATTTGAGGCCATAAGATTCCTTTCCACATTACTACAACCTCTCTCCTCCCTTAGGAAATATATTCACTTATAATGTCCAGAACTCAAATTGTAATATTTCTAAAGTTTTTGAAGGCTCATTGAGAGTCGAGACCCCTTCATCTTTGTATTGACCTTAAGCCTATTGTGCTGTTTTGTTTCCCTTGGTGCTCTTTAACTACATTGATTGATGGGTTGGATATTTCTAAAATGCACATCTGGTTGTGTCTGTCTTAAGACCTTTCACTGGCTCTTACACAAGTCTTGAGTTACTTGGTGGCTCACAGGGGCCTCTATAGAATGGATCTTGCAGATCTTTTCAGCTCTGTGTCTGCAATGCTTCAACCACACTACAGTTTTCAGTTCCTGGAATGTGCGCTCACTCCAGGTCTTTGCCTAGAACTCTCATGCCTCCTTATACTTCTGGGTCTTGCTGAATTCTACTCATCCTTCAAGGACTGAAGGACTGTGGACTCCCATTTAGGCCCCTTTTATGCTCATGTAGCACCCTATACTTCCCTTTTGAAATATTCATTACGCTTATGATATACTTGTTTAATTTTCTGTCT